CTTATTTTATTTTATAGAAATTTAAGATCCAATTTTATAAAGGAGGAAATAATTGTATGGATGATAAATAGGAATAGGCTAAAAATATGGCCTATCTATTTTGTTCCATATTTATTGATGTATATTTGAAGGAAAAGAAAATGAAAATTGAAATAAAAATAATTGAAATAAAAAAAAAATCAAAAATTGAAAATTAAAATATAATTTTATTTACTAATTATAGTTTAATTAGTGTTTATTTTATAATTAAAATCAATTAATTTACCATGTTTGTGCAGTCCTGAAACAAGATGAATCACCATCAATATCAATCTTCATATCATTATTGAGATGTCGAGCATTGATATAAATTACTGGCCTAGCACGAAGTATAATGATTGTATCAGATGCAAAAGCACCAATAACTAAATCATTGTAACCATTACCATCCAAATCTGATCCACCGGATAATGAGAATCCAAAAGTTTTTAATGATGAATGCAAATACTGTTGTGGTAATTCATTAGGTGTTATCACCTGAATAATTCCGGAAATTCATTCAGGAAATTGAATTATGAATAAATAGTAGGGAAGATAATAGTAAAACGGAAAAATGAATTGATCATGTAAGAATAGATAAAATGAAAGGATGTCTTAATTTATCTATTTATTAGGAACATTTTAGAAGAAGGTCATCGATAATTAACCTGCACAGGTTCAACTTTAAAAGTATCTGGTGATTTTGCACCAAGATAAATATATACTGCACCTTTCCCATTATCAGTAAATGGTGCACCAATAGCAAAATCTAAAAAGAAATATGATATATAAAAGTGATTGGAAATAAAAAAAAAAAATTAATAAATTATGAATTAATATTCAAAAAATTGCATGAAATTCATAAAATTTGGTATTTCGATCAATTTATTTCATCCAATTAATTAAAAAATATTAAAATTTCCTATTCAACAACTTAAAAAAAAAGAAAAAGCCCAATTATTCGAATATTTTAATAATTTTTAATTCGAAAGTTAAATTATTTGAATTGATGAATAATCCTTTTTTTTTTATTTGTATATTTTAATATTTGCGCAAAAGGTGAATGAATGAATGAATGAATGATCTTACCGTTATGATTATTATTATCACCATCTATATTTCCCAGACGTGTTATTGCTAAACCAAATTGTGAGTAAATTCCTTGACCACGAAGTTTAATTGGATTTAGGAAAACGTATTCATTTTCATGAGGTTGACGTTGAATTCCAGATGAGTAAAATATATATACAGTACCACCAAATGAACCATCAACTGTTTCTGAATATTCAAAAGGTGCTCCAACTAATAAATCATCAAATCTGAAATTGTTAAAACTTAACCATGTAATAAATTTGCTTATCGATTAATTATCGATTAGAAATTATCAATCATTTTTTTTATAAGATAAAAAAAAAACTAACCCATCATTGTTAAGATCGATAACTTCGATTGAATAACCAAATGCTGAGCCAAGTTGTGAACCTTGAAGCATATAGCTATCCTCAGTAAGGGTCAAATAATGTGAAGTTTGAGAATTCATCGAATGACCATTACGAAATGGTAGAAAAGTTACTGCACCCGTTTGATTGTATCGTGTAGCACCAGCCACAATTGTTGTATTATCTTTATCTTCAAACCTGTAATAGAAATTTTTTTTTGTTTTTTTAAAAAACAGATGAAATTTAATAAAATTTGATATTTTTGAAATGACCGTAATAAAATGGACATAGGCTATTCAGGCTATTCAAGTATACTTATATAAAAATAGTTATTAGAAATTATGCTTCATTTAAAATATCATATGGAAGATTTAGATTAAATAATATCCCTTACAAAAAGTTCCCTATTTAAGTGGTCAATGGTTGACCGATGGTTACTTTAGTTTTCTTTTTTTTTTTTTTTGCATAAATTAGACCGCATTATAGAATACTGAGGGATAATCCCTTTTTTTATGAGTGCAAAATATAATTCATATTCTCACGGTTAATTATGGGTATCATAAGTATTACTTACGTAATCATTCAATTCCAATCTTCAAGCTAAACATTTCAATGGGAAATTTTATCGTTGCGGGAAATTTCACAAAGAAATATTCATTTCCAATTTTTTTTTCTGACAGATTAAATTAACATTTTTGTGTAATAAATAAAAGTAAAACAAATGAAACAATAGAAAAAGTAATTTAAGTTATTAATTTGAAAAGATTTTTAGCTTAAATTTAGCTTTCATTTAAATTTTATTCGAGAAGTTTTTTTTTTCTTTTTTATTTCACGAATTAATTATTGAATAAGTGATATTTCAAATTAAAATATGATTAAAAAATTTACAATAATATCGATAATTTCTTAATTAATATAAGCAATAATTCATATTTCATATTTCAAGCGTAATAATTTCTAAATTTTACAAAAATTTAAATTTAATAAATAATTTTTGAAATATTATGAAAAATATGTAATTTTATACAAAATTTTTACCATTTTACAATAATTTTTTTTTTACCATTTAATTCATCAACCTTTTCCTTTTTTTTTGTCTAATATTGTTTGAATGACCTTTAAAGAGGTCATTTTTGAGAGCAAAAAAAAAGAAAAAAAAAGTGATTTGGATTTTAAATTACCAAAAACCAAAATGTCCATGTCGTACAGAAAATCCAAGATAATCATGTCCTTGGAATTTTGATCGTACACCATGTAATTTAGGATCCACACCCATTGTCCAACGATCACGATTCATTGCAAATATATCCTTTGGATAGTATCGTCCAAATACACCACCTGTCCATTTCTTTGCACCAGGTAAACCTACAAGGTCAACATACTTACACTTTTTTTTTTTTTTGAAAAAATTTTCATCTGAAAATTAATTTTAGATCTTTTTAAAAAGATTTTTAAATTTCATTGAAAAAAAAATCAAAAGAAAAATTCAATCTTTTGGCTAATGGATGATCGATTGGTTAAATTTTTAACTTTGACTTGAAAATTTTAATTTTTCAAAAATTTTTTTTTAAACCTTATTTTATCAGTACACAATTAATTATTTGTTGTTTAAAAAAAAAAATTAAAATTTT